TGAGGACTGGCAATGAAGAGCTGTTGGGTTCCCCCTGCCCCACCACGACCACCAAAGACCCCAATCCCCAGGGTGAGATCCTAGCAGTGGGCTGGGGCTGGGGCAGCCAGCCATCTGGGCCATCTTCCCTTGGAACAGAGAGGGTGTTAGCCTCTTGCCTGAAACCCAGAAGCAATCCTTTCAGTAGTCCATCCTTGCGATCCTTAGAAACCTCTTATCCTCTACAGCTAGAAGACATCTGTAGCTCTTTGCTTTCTTCTTGAATGTAGACTGTCATTTTTTCCCTGACAGGATACATGAGATTGTGTCTAGACAGTCTCACTGGGGACTGGGGTGTATACTGCCTCAAGGGGGCAAAAATTGGATCTTTGGCAGGCGAAAAAAGTCTTAGCTATTACAGTGGTTTGTGGCCTTCTCAAGGGGAGCAATACGTAAACCACTCTACAGTATATCAGTGGCACTAAGATGTCATGTGAGGGGCGGGGGATTATGGGGAAAAAAATGACTAGGGTTTCCTTACAGGAGAGAAAACCGGGCGGCGCGGGGGAGTAGAAAAACAGTTACCCGTGCAAACCCCACTCAGGCTAAGCTGTAAATCTATTTTGGATGAAGCGTGTCAGGTGATGAAATACAATAATCCACATCACTTGGGGAGTCCTAGGGAAAGAACAGGGCAGAGAGAATGTCTCCTCAAAGGCCTCCCTTCTACTTACGAAGAGAAGAGAAAGTCGCAGAAACTGGGCATGGGCTAATGAACAGCCTGCCCGGAGGCCACTTGTGAGCTAAGGCCTCCAGCCTGGGGCCTGCGGCCAAAGTGAGACCTTGCCCTGTCCCTGAACCCCTGCCTCCCGGGTAATGGAAGTGGATCCTTTCTCACACCTCTGATGGCACGATCTCCTGAACCAAACAGTTGACTCTAAAGCTTTTTGCAGTAATTAAGGGAGATGAGTACAAGAGGCTCAGGGCAGGCCTGGGACCTGCATAAGCAAAATCTTTCAAACTCTGGTCTCAGGGAAGGAATGTCCTGGCTGAAGGGACATTCTTGAAGAGTCCAGAAAACTTGTTTCCAGGGTTGGAGGAGACCTTCCACGGTGAGGGGCCCTCCAGATCCCTTCTGCCAGATATTCTCAAGTATCCCAGGGAAATGTTCAAGCTGGATGAGGAAAAACAGAAGCAACTGCTCTTGGGGGTTTTGCAACTCTTGTGTCTCCTTATTTTACACGGATGTCTTTATGCTCTATTAAAAAAAGTGTCATTTTTAAAACCCTTTCTGTAGAACTCGAGTGATATAACCATGATCCTCAAGCTCAACCCACTGTCACTACTTGGGGAGAGCTGACTTGAGTCCTAAAAAGAAAGAAAAATGGCACTTGGCATGGAAGTGAAGCCTAAGGTCTCTACCATTAAGATGTCAACCTTGCATGAGTCTACACCAGCTGGTTCTGAAGACCTGGATCTGGAATTTGGATGTTGTTGTTTCCTTCCCCAAAGATTACCCTCCTCAATATACATAGCCATTCAAGGTGACCACAAAATCAGGAAACTTAGGATAAACTCTTTTAGTGCTCATGGCGAGACGTGGGTGTGGCAGGGGGTCTGCACAGTGAGTGGGTATTTGTGGAGTTAGTTTGGGGTATGTGCTGAGATGGGTGTGTGTGTGTGTGTAGGTGTGGATGTGGGGGCTGTGAGAGGACTTGTGTGCACACGGGCACACAGGTGAGGGCAGTGATATGGCTGTGGCTCTGTGGGGCAGGTGTGACAGGATAATCTTAAAACTGCTTGCCTTTAAAAATATATATATGCCCCACATGGTTTCAGGCCAAGTACTCTTAATGGGTCCCATTATTAAACCGAAACATTACCACGAATGCCCTCTAATGTGTCCCCAAAGTCTGGAAACGAAAACAAATGTGTTTATGGCATTTTTCAGATTAACCGTGCATCTGCTTCTTAAACTTTAGAGGCACATTACTTGAGAGGAACATCTGACCCAGAGGCTAATGAAAAGCAAATTGAGCTTAGTATTATAAAACGTAAACTGACGTACTACTTAAAAATAAGTTTATCCTGGTTCCTGATTTTGAGGATACCCTATCACACACAAGCTACAAGATGCAGAATTTCTTGAGGGCTTTCTGTACGTGGAATCCTATTAGGTGCTTTGCCTATATTATTTAATCTTTGTACAAGAACCTATGAGGAGTTGGAGTGATAATAGCCTATCCAGTGGATTAAGAAACGGAGGGTCAAACAAAGAAGGACAGTAAAATTACATGCCAAAAGAGATGATGTAAATGATTAAAATAAAGGGCACTGTCTAGTAAAGAATGATCAGTTCAAGCCAATTGTTGCTGGGTAGGACTTCAGGCCCAGTACTGCCAGATGGATCGATTTTTCCAGAGAAGCCAGAACTCTGGATTTGTGACGAATCATCTGATTTCTAGATGTTAGTAACTAAACCACATTTTTATTAACTCTGTGTTGGCCAAGCCAAACAAATTTGCGAAGCAAATCCAGCGGCAGGCCTGTCTAGTTTGCAAACTTGGAATTCCAAATTGCTGAAGTTTCTCCCACCTGGGAAACAATAGGACAAACGAGAACCCAACTCAAAAGTGTGTTTTCTCTTAGGATACTGTGGAAGTAGCTGCACTGGATGAAATGCAATTTTGTTTAAATGACTCAACTTCTAAAGCCACTGGTTTTGTGGAAGTGGCAGCTGGAAGAGGCTCCAGGAGCTGGGTGAGCAGCAGGAAGGACTCTCATAGGGCCACACAGAGCAGGGGGGTGTGGCTGGAATTTTAGCTGTTAAAAGCTTCATAGAATGCAGACATTCCAAGGGCTAGCTGGGATCCACCTTCTGGAAAAAACCAGGAAGCTCCTTACCTCACTCCCCCCGCCCCCCAGCTTTACCTCCCAAGACAATCCAACTTGAAGCTGCTGCAACTTCCAAATGCACAAGACCTAGAAATCTCTTCTTTGGAGTATCCTTCACACATCCCTAGTTCAGTAGGAGTATGCTTCCCACAATGTTTACAGAGGACGAGGTTTTTGTGCAACCACGTCCTGGTGTCACAGAGCCCCCCAAACGTAAAGAAGACACCTGCTATCACCATATCCCTAGTTTCAGAAGACCGACTGTAGCATTTAAAATGGGATTAACATTTCACTCGGTTTTCCACTCCTGACTGTGTAAAAGGTTCTCCTGGAACAGCTGGGCCGGCTTGCCTTATGGAGAATTAAAGAGCACCACGCATGCACGCACACATAAGCAGCCATTTCTATAAATGCCCGAGAAAAAAAAAATCACTCGGCTGAATGGGTCACGTCTCCAGGAATCCTTTTTTCTAAGACAGGAAGACTCAGGTAGCGCCCACGCCCACAGAAACCCTGCAGGCCTCCCCGGCCACCGGAGCAGGCAGCTCCCTGAAGGAGAAAGTGCCTTTGCTCAAGGTGGCAGTGGGTGTCGGGGTGAAGTGAACCCCCGGGAACATGGCTGACAAGGCCAGGCCCGCCCAACAGCTGCTGGTGAGTAACACCCTGGGGCTAATATACCCCTACCTCACCCTGGGGGGAGTGACGCTGAAGGTCACATCCCCCAGTTCAGGCACACATCCGCCTGCCCCCAGCCTTGCAGACACAAACTTTGTCAACTGTGCTAGTTTGATGGCAACTTAAGAGGACAACCCCAAACAGAACCTGATTTTGCAGGAACCACGCAGGAAAGTCAGTTTTGCTCCTGTGCCAGCAGCCACCTCCACAAGGAGCACTGTCCAAAGGAAATAAAACCCGACATGCAGTTACGTGGCCTTCCTCTGAAAGAGCAAAACCAACCCAACCCAACCAATTATCATTCTCAAACCACAGGCCCAGGGCCTCATCTTGAGTGTACGGACAATTACACCAAAGAATGACAGTACTTCGCTAAGTAACTCCAACAGCCTCTTAAATATCGCGTGGGATCGAGGGAAAAGAAGTTCTACGAAAAGATCAAGTCCTGTGCTTCCTTATCAGAACAGCAGCTGTAACAGAACCTTTTACTAAAGATGTGGAGATAGCATGGCCCAACCCTTTCCAACTTTTTCTGAGTGTGTTACCCAGAACCAGCACAAGGCTGACCAAGAATCTCCAGAAGCCTCCAAAGCCCATGTTAACCTGCTTATGTCTTTTCTGGCCACATCCCCTGGGGCAGCCCTTGCCTTTTGGTGTCCCTGGGAGAGACCCTGCTTGCAGGAGGGAGCCTGGATGTCAGGCAAGGACCACACCTCCTCGCTGACTGTTCAGGGTGCAGGGTGCCACCAATCATGGTGGTGGTGGGGAATCAGCTATGGAACCTCATTAAAAAAAGGCTAACTAGTCATGAAGTTAACCCCCTCCACCATCACTTGATCAAACTCCTCTGCTGCCCGAAGCAGTGTTATTTTAAACCTCCCTGGGGACTCTGGGCCAAATTTAAAACCACCCTGGCAAGCCCTGAAGAAGTAGCAAGCACGGGGCTAAATGAGTCCTTCGTCATCCCTAAAAGGCTCCCCGTAAACTGCTTCTCCCCAGGTTTGGGGCGCGTCTCGCTGCAATCCCACAAGAGAATCAAATAAAAGCTACGCCATTTGACCTCCCCGATGCCGGCGTGTGCCCAGGTGGGGTGGCCCCACGGCCGTGGGGTGCGGGAGCCCTGCGAGGGGGGGCGGGGCGGGGCGGGGAGCGGAGGGGAGGGGCGGCACCGCTCCCCGGCCTGCCGGGTTAGGGCTCTCGGCGGCTCCCGGAGACGGGAGACCCGGCGAGAGGCGGGAGCTCTCCGTCTCTCCGCGGCTCAGTCATTTAAAGAGTCGAACGGCAGCACCTGATCCAAAATACTGGCACCCTTGAGGCCGAGTGTGGTGTCCTCAGCGCCCAGAAAGGCTGCCCAGCCGATGGTTAACTAACCCCAGAGCTGGGCTGGGGTGCTGGGGTGGGGTGGGGGGTGGGGGGTGGGGGTGGGGTGGGGGGAGGGAGCCGCCGCTAACCTGTATGCACTCTGTAATGGGCTTTGAGATGGGAGGATTTTCCATAGACTTTCCCACAGCCACTGTAGGGGCACTTGTGCCTCTTTTCGGAGGCGTGTTTCCCCTTCGCAGCCACTCCGGGGTGGAGGAGGGAGAGCGGGCTGGGCGCGCCGCCAGGATCCTGTCTCTCCTCGGGGCTGTGAGAAGGACTCGACCCAGATTCGGTGGTCACGTCGCTGTCGGATCCCATATCCTCATCCGGACTCTCCAGACTGTCGCTGCACACCGAGGGGGTCTGGATGGGTCGGTACTTGTTCAGGTCCAACAAGCTCTTGGCGATGGTGACCAGCGTGCAGTAATCCTTCCAGGTGTCCCCCGGGTCGCCGTGCTCCTTGGCCACCTCGCGCTCAGGGAGTCGCAGTCGCTCGGCGTCCGGGGCGCCCCCGTGCTCCGGCACCGCAGCGCGGTTCGAGATAGACACCAGACACTGGGCGGCCACGAAGTCCATGTAGGCGGCCGCGGACATGGTGCGGGCGGCGGCGGCAGCCCCGGCGGCGCGGCCGAACTCGGCGGTGGCTGCGGAGGTTCGGCGCGGCCGGCCCTGGCCTCGGACGACGAGCGCGGCGCGGCGCGGCGCGGCGCGGCGGCCAAGGGGGCGGGGGCGCGGGGCGCTTCCGACTCGCAGGAGCGCGAGGCGACCTCAGCCCCTCATCTTTACGTAACCGGCAGCGCCTCCGCACGCAGCATCCACGGCCTCGGGCTCCGCCGCTCCGCCGCTCCGCCGCGCCGCGCCGCCGCCGCCGCCGCCGCCCGCGCCCCGCGCCCCGGCGCGAGTCCCCCCGACGGGCGCGCCGGCCGCTCCGAGCCGGCTCCCTTGGAAAGATGCCACACGTGGCGGCCGCAAGTTTATTCGCTCGAAAACGCCCCCGAGGCGCCGGGAGAGGAAACTGCAGCGGAGGTACACGCCCTCGGCCGCCGGCCTCTCCCCGTCCCGTTCACCCGAGCACCCGCACGCGGGGGGCTCGGGCCGCAGCGAGCGCCGGGCCTAGGACGCACTTCTCGGCCCGTCCGCGGGCGCCCTCCGAGCCCCTGCTCCGGCCGGCCCGCGCCGTTCCGGCATTCTCTCGCTCAGTAACAGTTTCGCAGAATCCCATCACGTCACACCCCGAACCCCCTGCAATTGGCCGGCGGGGAGGGTGAGTCAACTCTGTTTACTTTCTCCCCCTGCCAGTCAGCGCGGCCTCGCGGCGGAGAGGTGCGTCTAGGACTGAGGCGCGCGGCCAATCCGGCCGTTCCGTGCCGCCGCCTCGTGCTCCCCCGGCAGCCGCGGTCGCGGACACTTAAAAGGGTAACAGCCGGGGAGGCTGGCGGGGCGCGCCGGCTCCTCCTCGGGAGCGCCTGGCGGTCCGGGGGCCGCCCCGGGCTCCCCCCGCTCGCGCGCTCCAGGCCGCGGGGCCGGGGGACGCGCCTCCCGCACCCGCACCCGCACCCGCACCCGCACCCCCACCCGCACCCCGCCGCCCCGAACCACTGGCGCTCGTTCTCGTGACGACAGAAAACTTCGCGCCCGGTTCTCCAGCTTGCAAACGGTTAAGTGACTTCCTGCAAACGCTGGAGTCCCAGCAACCAGCCTCCCAATCGAAAGTAAGTCGGTTGATGTCACTGACATTGGCCCGGCCAATCAGAAGCGGCGTCCGAAAGCGAGCGCTCCGCGCCTGTAAACCCCGGGAGCCGTAGTGAAACTGGACGCAGCCTTGTGTTTCGTGTTGCTGGTAGTAAAAGCGAGATGTGCATGGGAGGGCAGGGGTGATGAGTACATGCAATGTGAGTCAATACTTAACAACAACAACAACCAAATGTCAGGCCAAGTTGTCCAAGAATAAGCACAAATGAGAAAGCATCCTTTCTTTCTTTCTTTCTTTCTTTCTTTCTTTCTTTCTTTCTTTCTTTCAGTTTGGGGATGCAGCATACTTTTGGGTAGATTTTTAATATACATGCAATGTGAGTCAGTACTTTAAAAGAAACGAAGTATGTCAGGCGAAGTTGCACAAGAATGAACACAAATGAGAAAGCATCATTTCATTTTTTCCACCCTCCAGTTTGAGGCTGCAGCATGCTTTTGGGCAGATTTTTAATAATTCTTCAATCCAGGGACCCCTGGGTGGCTCAGTAGTTGAGCGCCTCCTTCAGCTCACGGTGTGATCCAGGGATCCTGGGGTCAAATCCCACATCAGGCTCCCTGTGGGGAGCCTGCTTCTCCCTCTGCCTGTGTCTCTGCCTCTCTCTGTGTGTGTCTCTCATGAATAAATAAATAAAATCTTAAAAAAAATACCTATTAATGATCCTTCAAGCCAATGCATTGACTATGACCAATTCATCTGAAAAATGTAGGGCTGACAAAAGTTCTGTTTAAACCAAACTCTTGGGATGCCTGGGTGGCTCAGTGGATGAGCCTCTGTCTCTGCCTCAGGGTGTGATCCTGCAGACCCCGGATCAAGTCCCAGGTCAGGCTCCCTGCATGGAGCCTGTTTCTGCCTCTCTGTCTCTCTCATAAATGAATAAATAAAATCTAAAAAAAAAAAGCCTTTTTTACTGTCTCACTATTCAAAAATTTGTATGACTCTTTTTAAAAACACCATTTTCTTTCCATAGACCCTTAGATGTGATTTCAGGGTTTGTTCCTCTTCCCTCACTTTACAAACACCAAGACTGAGATGTACAGAAGTGACTTGTCTATCTTATCAGGTAGATAGTGACAGAGCTCAATTGAAACCATAAATCTAATGATTCCGAGCCCTTTGGGCTTTAAAACAGCTGGGCTCTTCGATTTTGTGAAATATTAACTGTGCTAGACAGATTCTTAAGAACTGGAAGGAGCCAGAGATCCTCAGGTATTGAATATTGTGGCATTACCCGATCAATGATTAGCATGGGTCTTGGAGTCTGATTAACTCAGTTTGCCCCTCCCTCTGAATGAATGATGGGTTGTTTTCCATCTTGAGAGCTGAGAAAAGAATCCAGGGCTAATGCCTCTTGCAGGGGGCAAACCATCAGCACAACTGGTTAAAAATACATTGATTTTCCTAACTGGGTATGAGAGGTACCTGCCTCTTAGTGATACAGATCCACTGAGGTCCAACCATGGCCCTCACTGGCTGTTAGCCCTGGTCAAGGGTTGGGAACATTACTCACACCAGTTTCCTGGTCTCTAAAGGTCCAAATCAACACTCCCAGTTTGAAGGCCAGTATGGTTTATTTTGACTTTGCTTTTGAAGTGATACAGGAAGATACAGCAGTAGGTTGACTATATGGAAAAGTGAAGTTTGGAAAAGGGGTGGCAGTCAACCACGAATGTTATCATCACCATCACTGTCACCATCACCAGCATGGAAAAGTAGGTACATCATGGCATGTGAAAGTGATGCCGTCTTAGAATTCTTGCATTCTAATCCCCTTAATTTTAGAAAAGAATTCACTGAAGCACAGGGGAGTTTGCCTACTTCATAATTTTTCTGGGACAAACTCTGTCCCCAAGGATAGATGATCATTTAGAAATTGCCTTTGCTTGCTTCCAAAACCAATGGTATCTCTCCAGGGTCTCTAGATCACCGCCTATATAGTCTCTTGAACTTGCATTGCAAATGGGCATTGCACTGGGTGCCTCCAGACAGCCCTAGAGTTAATTAACATTGGGATTGTTGTAGAAGAGAACCAAAGTCTGATCTTTCCTTGGACATTGAAATCCAGGGACTTGAATGAATCAATCATCATAAGTTTTTTAAAAATACAAACTTTCGCCTCCCTTACATCTTGCCCTCTTCTCTTTTATTAATTATCTTTAATTTAACTTGGTTTGGACTGGGCATAGACCATGAATTTTTCCAACTCACTCATTTCACAGGTATAAAGTAATAAAAGAAAAACCTAGATTTCATGCACATGAGTTTCTCTCACATATTTATAAATGTATCTGCTGCTTGACTTGATTTAGAATAGCTTTTTAGAACCCAGAAATCCTAGAATTATAGAATGCTTTCCCCTTTATCTCTTTTTCCACTCATTCCTTCTTCAGATACTTATGTTTCAATCAGGGAGCTAGGCATGGGGGAATACAGAAATGACAGTCTATCCTCAATGACACTTAATATGTTAAAAACGAATTATATATTATATATTATTTTATATATATTACAAGTAATTCCTATATAACATATAATATATAATACATACGTATGCATATATACATACATTATTTATATGATATCACAAAATAGCATCAATCACAAGTAATTCCTACATCAGTATTTTTTTCTGTGTGTAATTTAACAACAAGCTCACTTTGCTCTATTGGGATGTGCGTTATAATAGTTTTATGATTAAAATCAGCTTACACTGTTTTGCCAGCATGTAGTTGTCCCAATTAAATTCTGGCAAAGTAAATTATCCCAAATTAATATGAATCATTTCTAATTACAATGAATAATTTACCAGTAAAGTATATATTATGCCACATAAATATGAGAGGTCTGTTTCTCCCCAATTTAGTCTTTGTAAATACACATTTCAAATCCACACAAACCAACTGGGAGGAGCACAGGAATTCAAAGACTATGACTGTGCTTCTAGTTTATAAGTATGTGTTTTCCTCTCTAAATTCTGTCTGAGGCTTGGCTTTATTATTCAAGTTCTCAAGAACAATCATTTGTGGACTTGTAGCTAGAAGTCTTATTTTCTGTGCATCCTAAAATTATTATCATTATCACCTCCAGAAGAGGTGGTGCCTACAGTGAGCTGATTTTTTTGAGCAGTGTTTAGGCCAGCCTGGGGCAGAGAAGGGGCCTCCTGGGCCTGAGATGAGCAGTAGGACCTAGGCAACCTCTTAGAGGGATTCCCTTATCTGTGAATGAACAGGATTAGATGAATATATCTCCATAGTACCTTACAAACTCCAAATACTCTAGCCATCTCCCCTCTCCCAAAAAATCATAGGGGAAAAAACGGAACAAGACTTGGGTTCTTTGAACACCATCTCCTCTGCTGTACATCTACAAACAAGTCTTTATTTTATGGTCTTTTTTAAAAATTTAAATTCAATTAATTAACATATAATGTATTATTAGTTTTAGAGGTAGACTTTAGTGATTCATCGGCCTTATATAATACCCAGTGCTCTTTACATCGTGTACCCTCCTTAAGGTGCATCACCAGTTACCCCATTCCCTCCACACCCCCAGTGAAGGTCAGAATATCCGAAATCAGTACTTAATGGGCCAGCAGGCACAATATAAAAATATAAACTTGCCCGGAATCCCTTAAATCCTTTTTTCCCCTTAATTTCATGGTCTCACTTTTTTTTCCCCCTTCAAGCTAGCTTGTGCAAATTTTCCACCCTAGCCCCAGCCGAGGAATTTCCAGGCGATTGCAACCCATTCCCAGTACCCTTCCCTGGAGATTTTAATCCAAACTGAGCCCGGGGGCAGAGTCCCCCCCCCCGCCCCCCGCCGCCCCTCCACGCTCTGGGTGGAGCTAATCACCTGGGGCTTAATC